CCGCAATCCCTTCTCCTCCATTCTCCTCTCAGGATCTTGGGCACACATGCACATGCACCCGGCGTGGGTTTTAAGCCACTGGGTCCGGGACGCGAACCGCGGTCAACTACATGGGAATCCAGCGACATAGCCATTATGCTAGCTGCTGGTTCCCAATAAAATAATTCTTTAAAAAAAAAGAATCAATCATTGTTTACAATCAGATTTTAATACAGAAGACTATAATGACTTATCATTACAGGGAAGAAAACCAAGAACATGTTAATTATATAACTTTAATTTAAAATTTATTTCTAATTAGTGCAAATATTCATACTTATCTTCTCTAGTTTGTTTTTTTTTTTTACTTTTTTTTCTTACAGATTTTTGCCATAGGGCACTTATGGAGAAGGAAAGTGAGAAATCACCCCCAGGAGGTGTGACCATACCACAATCCCTTCTCCTCTTTTCTCTCAAGATTTTAGGCATGCATACACACATGCCTACTGTGTTTTTCAAGTCACTGGATTGGGGATTCAAACCACAGAGTCAACAATGTGGGACCCAGTGCCCTAACTGCCATGCCAACCACTGGCCCTTTTGTAGTGTTTCCTTTGTTAAAAAATTAGAAAGTGCTTTTTAAAGCTTATTATTATTATTATTATTTTTAATTTTACCAAAGTGTGCATGCACTTGCCAGACAAAGATAAGACACAGAGAAAGAAGAAAGAGAAAGCATCCCTCAATGGTTCATGGTCATGACTCAATTTCTTCTCCTCTATTTCTCCATCCTATTGGGATTTAAGACACACACACACACACACACACACACACACACACACACATGACACGTTTTTCAAGCTGCCAAGGCCAGGATTTGAACTGTGCAGTTGGCCATGTGGGATCAAGCTCTCTTAACCCCAGGTCACAGGGCCAGCCTTCTAAGCTTCTTAAATGACCTTAGCTACAGCAGACATTTTTTTAATTGGCAACTTCAAAGATAACACAATATATGAATCAATTAAACTTTCAGCTTTTATCTCAAATAAAAATCTGAGTGTGAATTTGCAAACTCTTCATGAATTAATCATTATTTAAAGCCAGACTTTCTGGAAATTAAACATTATTTTACAAACAACATTTTGAAATATTTGTGATTAAATAACCATTCTGCAAAAATTACCTTCGACATTTTTGTACATTCCAATCCAAAAATTGGTTTTACTTTTAAGTGGTTCAACCCGATATGACAGAAAACTGGATTCAGCAGCACTTTCAATGGAAACCAGAGAGGAACCTGCAAAAAATAAAAGAACAAATGTGGTAGAAGTATTTACATTTAAGTAAGTAAAAATATTTTTGTAAATAGTATTGATATTAAGAGAAAAAAAAAAAACCCACCCCATTCCCCCCTAAGAGGAAGAATCGTAAAGGGTGGATCTTTGTCTTCTCAAAATTTTAGTGCCTGAAAATATGTTTTTAAGCAATGCTTATGTGCAGTAACTGAACTAGTTCCTGCAAGAGATGCAAAGAGGAGTAGGATATGAATATGCCTTAAAAATGTTATGGTCCTGTGGCCAGGAATAAGTTGAGTGTACAAGGAAATATAGTAGAGATGAATTAAGTATAATATGCTATAAACATGTCAAATATTCAATTAGTGGGACCAGCAGGTAGTGTAGGGCTTAAGGTGCTAGACTCCAGGTAGTTGAGCATGGTTCAAGTCCCAGACCCAGTGGCTTGAAAATCACACCAGGCACATGTGTGTGCACGTCCAAAATCTCAAGAGGAGAATGAAGGGGAAGGGATTGCAGCATTTCCTCGGGAGGGGGGGTAAATTTCTCACTTTCTCTCTCTCTGACTCTCTCCATCAAGCACACATGCCTTATGGCAAAAATATACAAAAAAAAAAAAAAATCAGTGAGTAAAAACAACTAAAAGGTATCACAGAAGAGTTAGAATTTAAGTAGAGAAAATCACAGGCCTTCAAGGGGGAAGGAAACAAAACAGTCTCAGAAAGAGGATGCAATATGAGGTAAGACAACAAGAAAAGAAAATCTTGAAGTTCTTTAGGAACAGAGAAGGCTTGGTTTGACTGGAATGTAGCAATGAGCAAAAAGATTTGTGCTAAGTCTCACTGCAGATGGCAGGAGATTGGTATTTGGGGCAGTGTGGTATTAAAAAATACTTAGTGTTTTGAGGCAGCAGACTGATGCAATATAGTATAAGAATAATAATTTAGCAATCACGTATAGGGTTGCTCAAAGTATGAAGAGTGAGGAAGGTGGAAGATCAGTTAGATGACTGTAGAATTGACAGTTTACATTAGATCAAGCATCAGCTTGACATGATATAGTAAAATTCTATTGCTTTGTAAATGATAACTATTTTAAAGCAATTTATGCCAGATATCTGCCTTTAGATTATGCAAGCATTAGCTCATTAAACTTTTATGACAACCTCACTGTATAATACTGTTATTACTCTCTTTCAGAGATAAGGTTTTTTTAATTATTATCTTGGTGATTTTTTTTCATTGACTCATTACATTATTCATCACTGAATATATTTCATAGACATCAGTTAGCTTGAAATATTTATCACATATTTCATGTTTATTTTTGAAAAAAAGTCACCCAAAATTTAAAACAAAGTTCATACATATTTATTGCAAAATTTTTTAAAAGTATGTAGCAACATGATGGAAAACATTTTTTTAAATTAAAAACTCCAAGCCAAACTTCAGGTGACATCATCAGAAATGGCTAAGTGCCTCTGAAAATTGTTTCTTCTATAAAAGCAATGAGAACACTGGAAAAATAATCAAAATCAACTTTTTCAGAATGTTGAAAATTAACCAAAAGCTTACAATAATCCAAGAAGCATTTATGAGAGAAAAATGATTGAATCTTGGTAATAATAGTAAGCTTTGTGGTATTTTAAGTGTCCTAATTCCATCGCCTTCCCTCTAGTTCCGAGCAGACTTAAAAATCGACAGCCCCATAATCACAGTGAAAACCAACAGCCCAGAAGCCACTGGAGAGGTTGGAATGGAGGTAAAGTGCTTCCCAAAACCCCTTTCTTGAATTTCCAAAATTTGACCCATTTGGTAAGCTCCCTAGAAAATCCCACTTGCAAAGCTTGTCTTTGTGTGATCTGAATCAGATGTTGTTCACTACAAACTTTTGCCTGAAAATGTTCATCAAAACCATCAGTGGGGCAACGGCCTAACATTACAGCTGTCTAAGGCAGTGATAATAGTAGGGGGCAAATAACCTACTTGAAAGCTTCAAAGAGCTGCTGAATGAGACGTCCATAGTGGCCTTTGCAACACATTTGCATATTCCTGGCATAAAAGGCAACAGACACACTGCAGTGGTGTCCACGTGCCCGGGTTTGTGTGAGTGCCAGGGAAAGACCTGAGAAAGCTTTACCTTCTTACCCCTGGCCAAGTGAAGTGAGGGCTAAAACAGATTTTTTAAGTGCCTGGAAGGGTATGGAGGGTGCATACCAACGCACAGAGTCCCTCAGCAGATCCTGGGAGAATGATTAGTTCTAGGCATTTAAAGAACTCTGTGCCTGCCACAGCCAGGTGACACACATGTAGATACATCAAAATTAAATTGTCAAAAGACAAGAGGAACCAAGTAGGAGGGCAGCAGTGACACAATGCTCTGTAAGCTGACCCACAGGGGAAGGTTCTGGGTTCATGTCAGAGACTCCCCCCAAGTACACTGGGTATGTACCATGACCTGGAGCTGGCTGGAGCTACGGAGTAGCTGCATTGCAATGCATTGCAATGTGAAGACCCGGTTGGGAGTACCTGTCTCTCTTACTCATGAAAGAAAGAAAAATAAACTTCAAAAAAAAAAAAAGTCTTGAAATTAGTAAAGAGAAATTACTCATGATGTACAGGGATCCTTTATTTTAACATTTATGTATGTATGTATGTATTGTGAATTTCAAGCCACTAGGTATGGATCTTGAACCACATTGGCCATGTGGGAATCTAGCACCCTAGCCACCATGCCTCCTACAGGGCCCTATGTACAGGGACCATGGAGGCCAGAAAGCCATCAGATAGCATTCAAGAGATTTAAAGACAATGGCTGTCATTAGTAATTTTCTCTCCAGAAGAACTAACCTTCAAAACTGAAGGAAAAGTTAAGATGTACCTCGGTAAACAAGAATGGAGAGAAGCTGTCACTAAAAGAAATACTAAGAGCATGCTTCAAGATGAACGGAAAGGACACTTGGCAAAACCTCAAATCTAGATGAATGAATAAAAAGCAGTAGGGGTTAAAGAGAAGAAGAAAAGAAGAAGGAGGAGAGGAGGAGGAGGAGGAAGAGGAAGAAAAAGGAAAAAAAAACTTCCTTTCACATTTTTTTATTTCAAGGAGAAATCACTCCTCTATGTCATGCCTATTTGAGTTTATTTTGTTTTTCTTCACTAATACAGTAACTGGATGGAAATACTTTCTGTTAGTAGTAAGATCAATTGTTTGTGGGAGCTTGTCAAACTGGAGCTTGTCAGGGAGAATACGTGAGTAGAGCACTCTGGATAACTGAGAATGAGAACTCTAACAATTTAGAACCACAGGGTGAAAGAAAGAGAGACTGGGTCAGCAAGTAACTTTTCAACCTGAGCTTTCTAAAATTTTGGAGCTACAGAATTATAAATTACATTTGGGAGCCAGTCCATGATTTGGTGTTTAAGGCAGTCGGAGCCCACATGGTGGACTAAGCAGGGTGAGTCCTGCCCCTGATGGCTCAAAAACAATGCAGGGTACATAAGCATGCATGCCCCAAATCCCCCAAGGAACAGAAAATGGAGAAGGGATTGTGGCGTGACCATGCCCCATGGGGTTCTTTCTCACTTTTTCTCCTCCAACCCCAGCAAGTGCATATACTCTCTGGCAAATGAAAGAGAAAAGGAAGGAAGAGAGGAAGAGGGAGGGGGGAGAGAGGGAGAGAGAGAGAGAAGAGAAAGAAGAGAAGAGAAGAGAAGAGAGAAAAGAAAACAAAAGGAAAGAGAAAAAGAAAAAGGAAGAGAAAAAAGAAGGAAAAGGGAAGGAAGGAAAAAACAGAAGGAAGAAAACAGGAAAAAAGTAAGGAAAAAGGGAAAAAGGAAGGAAGTTTGGGGGGCATGAAGTTGATCATACTGTTATAAAATAAATCACTTTTTAAAAATATGTATTTTAAAATGTCCCTAGGTAAACATGTATTTTTCATTTTAGTTTTAGTTTTTGTTTTTTGGAGATTTTTTTTTTTTTTTTTTTTTTTGCTATAGGGCGCATGTACTTGCTAGAAAGACAGAGAGAGACAGAGAGACAGAACGTGAGAAATCTCCCTCTGGGGGATGGCCATGCCGCCATCCCTTCTCCTCCAGTCTCCTCTTGGGATCTTGGGCATGCATGCACATGTGCCTGGCATGAGTTTAAGCCACCGGGTCTAGGACTTGAACTGTGGTCAGCTACGTGGGAGTTCAGCAACATAGCCACTATGCTAACTGCTGGTCCCAATAACTGTGTGTTTTTAGTGTAGTGTGGGTCAGCTGACTTCAGAATAGATGATAATGAAATTGTCTTTCAGGAAATGTGACACTCACCCATTTGAAGACATTCCAGAGAGGCTTGGCCCCAGTTCCGGGTGTATGAGGACTCGATATAGTAGCAGTGACCATGGAAAGGAATCCATGCAGTGTGCCGTGTCTCGGGGCATCTGCCCGGCAGTTGTGGAGGTTCAGTGGCAGGGATTTCTGTTGATAAAAATGTATTTAAAATAAAACCAAATCTGAAGTGTCTGTAGTATGTAGAACAATAGTTTAGCAATGAAGTGAAATTTTAATCAACTCTCATTATAAAGAAAAAAAAAACTTTAGATGGTGATAATTTGGGTCTACCATTTTTATGATTGGATTTCCTTTCATCAACTTTTTTCATTTTAAATTTATTTTAATTGAATACACAAAGTATGTATAATGGTAATCAATCACACTCAAAATTAAGACTGAAAAGTCATAGATACCTACAAAGATGTTACAGGTTAAAAAAGTCACCCAAAAATAATTTGTAAAGGGGCATCCCTTTCAAGTCACTCTTCTTTGTTTAGGATCCTACGCCCTATAAACCCTTCTTGACTTTTAGTGGCACCTGCGATACAACTATAAAATGCTATAGTTAGAATTCTAGGTCTGTGTCTACAATGTCACTGATTCTGATGAAGTCTCCATATGCTCTGATAAAATTCTTTTTGTATAGCTGTGCTGTTGACAAGCATAGTTTGGCATCCTAGACTCAGAAGACAACCTCAGTGAAAAATATTCAGAGATTTATAAAAAGCAAATAAACTCTAGAAATTAAAATAAATTTCTATCTCCAAGTCCTCTGTTAGGTGAAGAAATATGTTTTGAGCTACCCAGAACACATTACTGTTTAGTAATATCCATAGTTACTCAGAAAATTTCAAATCCCCTGATTATTTTTGTACAGTCAATTACCATCTGATCTTTTGCAGAGAAAATAAAAACTTTCATTGCAACTTGCTGTCTTCCAGTAGCCATCAGTATCCAGATAAACACACGCTGATTTCAGTTTGGGTTCATCAGTGGCCCAATTAGTGTACCTCATCCTCCATCGGTCAGTCCAGGAGTACTCGTTATTTGTCTGCAAAAACAAGAACAACCATTAATATGGAGACTTGCTTTGTTTAGAAAATATAAACGAATAGTGAAGAAAAAAAGTACATGGGGTTGGGACCAGCATATGGTATAATGGCTATGTCGTTGGACTCTCATGTAGTCTACAGTGGTTGGAGTCCTGGACACTGCCGCTTAAACTAACGCCAGGTGCATGTGCGTGCATACTCAAGATCCCGAGAGGAGAATGGAGGAGAAGGGACTGCAGCATGGCCATCCCCACTTGAGGGGTGTGTGTGTGTGTGATTTCTCGCTTTCTGTCTCTCTGTCTCTCTCTGTCTTTCTGGTAAGCTCACACACCCTATAGCAAAAACCTCTCCAAGAAAAAAAAAAAGTACGTGGGGCCAGCAGGTGGCGTGGTGGTTGAGGTGCTGGACTCCCACATGGCTGACCACAGTTCAACTACCGGACCTGGTGGCTTGCATTCTCTCACTTTCTCTCTGTCTCTCTCTGGCCAAATTTAAAGAAGATAATAATGATGATGATGAGTAAAGTTAAATAATTCTTTTTTTAAAAGAACATATAAGACTATTATTTGACATAGACTATTGAACATTTGAGAATGAAAAGAACAATATAAGTCATTTCTACCAACTAAAATGTAGCCCTTCTTAAAAACAATTATTCTTGGAGATCCCATAGAAATATATCCTTGGAAGCTATTTTGAAAAACACTGACTTAAGAAAAAAATGTGTCTCAGTCCATCAAACTCTATTTACAGGTTTTGGGGCACAAAAGAGATTTTTATCTCCATAACAAAATATATCTTATATTAATTACTATTGAAAATGTAATTTAAAAAATGAGTGATTTCCACTGAATTATCGTGAGAGAATGACAAATATCTTCTGATATTTTCCTGAGAGAAATACAAATATCTTCTGATCTTTTTATTATTCTGCTCTCAAAACAGCACCAGTAACAAATGAATTGGCTAAGGTCATGTGGGTTGATAACAGAGGAATCAAGGTCCCTTAACCGCCAGTTAGGTGGTCTTCCAATGATATGAATCATGATGTCACTTTTCAAAAGATGATTGTTTTACTCTATTGCACATTTAATTTCTTATTAAAGGCAAACAGGGACCCGTAGATGGCATAATCGTAGTCCCTCGTAGTCAGCTATGGTTTGAGTCCCAGACCCAGCAGCTTAAAACTCAATATGGACACGTGTGCACACATGCCCAAGTTCCTGATAGGAGAATGGAGGAGGAGGGATTGTGGTGTGGCCATCCGCCCTGGGGGGTGATTTTTCGCTTTCTATCTCTATGTGTCTGTCTGTCTGGTGAGCGCACGCACCCTATAGTGAAAATCTCTCCCAAAAAAAAAAAGAAAAGAAAAGAAAAATACATGAAAGCTTATTGTAAACTTACAAGAGAATTGTAACATATTTGAGAGAAGAGAATGACTTGTGAAATGAGTTAAGTATTGAAAACATAGTTAATGTGGACCAGCAGATGGCAAAGGGTTATGTAGCTGGACTCCCACATAGTCAACCATTGTTTGAATTCCAGACCAGACGGCTTAAAACTCATGCTGGGTGCATGTGCGTGTATGGACAAGATTACAAGAGGAGAATGGAGGAGAAGGTATTGTGGCATGGCCATTCCTTTTGTGGGGTGATTTCTTGCTTTCCATATCTCTGTCCCTCTCTGTCTCTTTGGTGAGCACTTGCACCCAATAGCAAAAATCTCTCTTTAAAAAGAAAAAAAAAAAAACACAAAGACCTAAGAATGTCTTGCCTAAGTTTAATCAAATTATTATGGAACTACTTACCTTTCAAGATTTACTTCCTACTGGGAACTAGCAGTTAGCGTAATGGCTATGTCACTGGATTCCCACGTAGTCGACTGCGGCTCGCATCCCGGACCCAGTGGCTTAGAACTCACGCCGGGTGCGTGTGCATGTGTGCCCAAGATCCCAAGAGGAGAATAGAGGAGAAGAGATTGTGGCAGGTCCATTCCCCCTGGGGGGTGATTTCTCGCTTTCTGTCTCTCTGTCTCGCTCTGTCTGTCTGGCGAGCGCACGTTGCCCTATAGCAAAAACCTCTCCAAAAAAAAAAAGATTTACTTCCTACTTAGGAAACACTCATTGCATTAAGTGTAAAGTTCATCTTTGCATCATGGTTTTGGAAGTTCTATGAAATCTAACACCAATATACTGGGTTGTATGCAAAAACGTATCATGACTTTTCCGACGACCCAACACTTCCCAGTGTCACCCTCTTCTTTCCTTTGCTCTCTTCATGATCCCTTCTCTATATTCCATCATTCTAGACTGTATCTACTAAGTTCAATTTTGTCTGGGAAGCCCTACTTGGTCTTCTCCCTGGCCCAAGTGGTCTCTTTTCTCTCATCCCATAACACTTGGTTTATGCCTCTCTTCGACACGTGTCTTCTCTCTCAATTACTTACTGACATGTCTATCTTCTTCACTAGGAAGTTTGCTGTTGACTAGCTAGATAGATGTTTAAAGGGAATATAGATAAAACATGAGGCATCTGAGAAAATTCATTTTAGAATCTTTTGGTAACTCCATCACCACTCCTAGTTCCATGCCTCCTCCCTCACCCCATTCTCGACCTTCCTTTCTCTGTATGGAATACAGGGAATTGATTGCAGTGAAATATTCCTCACAAGCTCCACAACTTCAGGACCTTTAACAACTCTGGAATGGCTTGCTACGAAAAAATAAAAAAGTATCTCCATCACCTAGCAACTATGCCCCTGACCTGCTTTTTTAATTCTGTGGCATGGTTGTAAATATGATACTGGAAAGAAAAATAAATAAAATTGTTTATGTGCACAATATAACTAATATTAAGAAGTAATTGGGATGCCAGCCGTTACATAATATGTAATGGCGTAGCAGTTAAGTAAGAGATGGAGTAGCAGTTACGTCACTGGACTCCCACATGGTCGACTAAGGTTTGAGTCCCAGACCCAGTGACTTGAAAATCACGCTGGGCACCTGCATTCATGCTCAAGATCCAGAGAGACAATGGAGGAGAAGGAATTGTGGTGTTGCCATCCCCCTGAGGGGTGATTGCTCACTTTCCCTCTTGTCTCTGTCTCTCTCTTCACAAGTGCATGCACCCTATGACAAAAGCCTCTACAAAAATTATAAAGTAATAGGAAGGTCAATTGGTGGAGCAGCAATAATACAAAACTGCAATGCTGAGTCCACATGGGAAGGTCCTAGATTCACATCACAAGATCTCCCTGTACACAACGGGCATGCACATATGTGCTGTGATCTGGGGTGACTGAGACCAGGGGTGAATCACAGCATGAGGAACCTGTTGGGGGTCTCTCTCTCTCATCTCTTTCTCTCATTTATGAAAGAACTACATAAACAAACTTTAAAAAAAGAAGAGCAGTGGAGACTTGATAGCAGGTACATAATCCTTAGCTTGATTTCTGATACACGGCACTAGTTTGCCAGCTCCCTCTACACATTGCATCCTAGAAAGACTGCATTTTATTCATGTCCATGGCAGTTCCATTCACACGGCCCAGCACAGTTTCTTGCATGTAACAGGAATTCAACAGAACAGAGAATCATATTCAATCACGACTTATCAATCAAGCCAAGTTGCATATATTTTCAGCATCTTACCAAGTTACTGTTCAAGGCGATCCACACAGGTACATTCAGTGTTTGCATCTGCATCCATACAAATGCATTACTATAGGGGTCCAGAATGCTAGCAATAAGGGAGGTATGAAGCTTGCAATATTTATCTGCTTCATGCCATTCTGACTTTAATTTGATGAGTGAATAGCTGCTTTCACCATATTTAATAAAGCCATCTGTTGGGACTGTTGCTGGAGGATTATGCAAAGAAGGGTCTGGAACAAAAAGATTATTTTCATTTGAATTATCAATAAACATTAATTGAGCACCATTAATACATGACTACTACATGCCATCCATCATAAAAATAACTAAGATTTTATAAATCCAAACTGCCTGTTGTTAAAAATATTTTCAAGAGCCATTTTGTACCAGAAAACAAAGCTTTATGCTTTCATCAGCATGGCTGATGAAGTTAGGTAATTTCCAAGCTATACTGAGTATATTAAAGCAGATATAAGATCAAGTTTCTGCAAAGAAGAACAAAAACTACTATAAATTCAATGTGACTGAGTATCTAGATGAAAGAAATGCCACTGTTTAATCCCACAAACTGAAGGACATCAGTCATCCTGTCATTACTAATCATAATTTTCCCATCTTGGTCAAATGTCAAGGTCAAGAATATTCTTTCCCT